CACTGACTGTGTTCTTTGTTGCTGCGGACTTGTGTTGTCGGTTGTCTGTGTGCCAGGCTTCGGGCTTCCTGATGAGGTGGTGATTGAGAAGAAAAACAAGGGCGACTCATTTGTGGAGTCCACAGGAGTTGATGTCAGACTGTCCAACATAAAGTTCATCCAACATGATGCCATTGAGGGCATCCTGTGTGAGTATACATGAATTGAGATTTGTAGGCAAAAGTAGACAAGCCTCCATTTACTGCTGCAGCTCCTCACTTGTAAACCTGTTCACAACTTTCTGTTGTGTGCTGTTATCAGTTACTGCAAAAAGAAACTGAAAGACACAATGACCTGCTCCAGGAAATCTAATTTATTTTCATAAATCTCCATTAAATCCTATTTTTACATTAAGTGGCATTCCAACACCACCATGCTGCAGATTTTTTTGGTACTTTCTGATGTTTTCACTGTTACATCATCATGTGTTTTAGATTTGTATGTTCATGTTTTCACAAATTCTGTCATCATTAAGTGTTTACAGACTGAATATCCACATTCACACAGATGATGTTCTTCTATTCACTGTGATCAATACAAACATCTCTGCTTTACTGTAAATCTGTTCACTGCAGTGATGGAGCAGGTCACGCTTCAGAGAGACACAGAAATCTGACAGAGGATTCATCTACTGTTTTTGCAAGTTAAGGGTGTGAGAGATGTGTGCAACTTCTGACTAATTCCTGCAGTTACTATTATTATCATGATCATTATTACCATGCGACAAGCTCTAACAGCTTTAATAAAGAAAATAAACTCATCAAAAAAGGAAAGGGGAAAAACACCTATTTTCTGTATTAAACAGAAAATACAACCGCACAAATTCTAGTTAAAGTTCTTATACCGAACTAAGACCAATCTTAAAACACACTTCATTCAAACCTGACAAAAACTAAATACAACTGACCAAAACAAATGTCTTTATTAGTCTTTACACTGTTCCAACAATCACCAAATCTGGTCTCTAACCACCTTAACCGAGTTAGATGTGAAAATATTTTAAGGCTGTTTTTCCTCTCAGTGGTTCTTCGGCTAAGTATGTGTACTGCACTGCTGGATGTCTGTAAATCAGCAGCTATGATTCTTCAGAGGCAGACCACTAAATCAGCAAAATAAAATGACAAAAAAATCTACCCCAAAAAAGAAATACAATCTGTGATGGACGATAGCTGATATAGTCGTCTGATCGCCCAACCCTACCACACATGTTGCTGTGTGATACAGTCCACCATGTTACCATGTCCCTGTTGTGTATTTTTCTCTGGTTTCTGTCAGGTGTACGTCAGGGGGCTCTAAACATGGAGAACTGTGTGCTGCAGTGTGAGACCACTGGAGTTATTGTCCGAACATCAGCCCATCTCACCATGAACATGTGTGACCTTTATGGCTCCAAGGTAGGTGAGCAACATCATCCAGCACAGGATGAAACTCCTCTGAGGCTTCAACTCAAAAACAGCTGTCAGGGCCATTTGTTGTTAGTGATTTAGGTCTTTTTATGGGATTACTATAATTTAATTAATTATATTATATTATACTATCAATTAGTCTACATGAATTATAGTAGATACATATCTATCTCTGAATCTGTAAAAATATTCTACTCCACTTCTGAGCACTTATGTAGGTTATAATTCCTGCTTTTAGTTATTAAAACATTACCTTTTAATTAGTGTAACAGTATTATAGATGTGTATTCATTTGTATATTACACTGAAATAATGGACTGTTGATGTCATTCGACCTGTTTTAAATCAGATGATTAGGGTGCAGCCGTTGCTGAAGGACACATTTTTGATTGAAATATAGAAAACATACAGCTTAATGACAATCTTAGCTGCTGAAAATGTGTTTAAAATAACTAACATACCTGTCACCTGTGTGTAATGGTTTATGCGTTTTGTAAACGGCCAAAACACTGCTTCTTATCATCTGCATTCAGAACAAGTGGCCATCTGAGCACGTCCATCCATGGGCCCAAGGCTCCTGTTCAAAGTCATACATCACAGCAGCTTCAGTCACACATTATAATCAGAGGGAATTCTCAAGGTGAAAATGCCAGAGGAAAAGCTTCTGCTCCCTCCTCTCTGAGAAGTAGGACATGTTACAGTTGTGACTCTCACAGTCGTTCCTGTACCTGATGCAGCAACACTCCTGTTGAGTGAGGCTCAAAGCATGTCTGTACTTTTACTTATTGTTTAAACAAAATCTATCAATCAGCTTATTCCCATGTCAGTTAAGTTAGTTTCTTCAATGTAAATGCGGCTGTATATGTGGATAGAGTCATAGATGCCGAGTAATTATGTCCCGCCCACCCAAGAAGGGGAAAGAATTTGTCACTCTCCATTGACTTTGTATTGTGTGAAGGAGCCTCCCAGTTGCATTTGTCTATAAAACAACAGAAAAATTCCTAAAAGCTGCTGTCTGGTGGGAAACACTGCCAACAGGGTAAATAAGCCAGAACAATGTTTTCATGAGCTGCCGAACAGCTTGTTCTAAGGTAGCAAAAACACAAGAACAATTACTTTCAGGTGATTGTGATTGAGTGTGTTTAGCTGGCTTTCACCATGTTGGCAGTCCTGACTTTGCCGGCTCCTGGCTAATCAAAAAAATATGCAAGGAGGTGGAGCTGCATATTGCGGCACTGATTTTTTTTTCCCCCTCCCATGGGCGTGAAGTATGATGCCTTTCACTCTGTCTCTATGTTGCTGCTGTGTTTTGTCTACAGGGGGCTGGCGTGGAGATTTACCCCGGGAGTGTTTGCAGGCTGGTTGGTAACGGCATCCATCACTGTAAGGACGGGATCCTCATCAAGGTGAGAAAAAACGAGGTGAATTTAAATAGTTTATTCATGTTCAGATTTTTCCCCCTCAGCATGCAAACTGACAGGAGAATCACAGGTGAGGTGTAGGACATCATGAAACACAACAATGCAGCCAATAGGAGGACTTCTACTGTTATTTAGTTGCTGTACAACTAAATAACACAAACTTTACCTCCCAGATCATAAAACACACTTCATGCAAACTCTCAAACCACCAACTTTGGTTGGGTTAAAGTAAACCCGTCATTCAGTTAGATTAGAAAATAGCTGTGAAATGCGAAACCTCTGATTCTAAGGACAGAACTGTATGGTAGGTGGAGACCTGTTATCATGACTCATGATAGAATATTATGTTTTTATTTTGAATGACCAATGACTTTGATCATTAGGTTATACAGTTATGACAAAAATGACCACTGAGCATATTTCCCAGAACATGTGGTGTTCTAGACACATCAGATGTCAGACACCCTGCTGTGAGAGAATCTAGGAAGTGACTCAAAGGTCAAGATGTGCCTGTGTTTATGTTTATGAAACATTTAAGAAACTTAGAAATTGGACTAAAAGTACACAAATGTTACTAGATGCAATGCATGAATCAACTTTTTCAGTGAAATACTATCATACTCCTGACTTTCGATTATTAAATGTGTAAATGTTTGTGTTTGGTGGGTGTGCAGGACTTTGCTGATGAGATGGATGCGATGCCGTCCATCACCATGGACAACAATGTGATCCACAACAATGAAGGCTATGGGGTGATTGTAGTGAAACCCAACAATGGGGAACAACACAGAGTTCCTCTGGGTGGAATTGAAGGTAGGTCGAGTTCAGAATCAGAATCAGAATTATGTTTATTGCCAAGTAGGTTTTTACACCCACGAGGAATGTGTCCTGGTGCAATTGGCGCATAAAAAATACAAATACAAATATACAAAGTACTTTCAAAATATAAATAAATTAAGATAAGAAAGATGAGAAAAGAAGACTGCGCAGAAGATGGGAGTGCATTAATGTAATGCATACTGTATATATAGGGTGGGTATAAGAGTCAGTGACAAAGGGGGTACCGGGCCTTGTTAATGAGGCCAGCTGCAGTCTATACAGTCAGAATATAATGTAAAGAAATAAAGATGTGGATAAGAAGGCGGAATATTGATCAGACCTTTTTTTCCCTGCTGGACCAACAGCTGAAGACAAACGGCAGGGAGATGTTCCAGATCCTCTTCTCATCTCCACAAACCAGACCAGCAGCGGCTCTGCAGAGATTCACCCAGACTCAGCAGAGAACAACAGCATCGACAGTGGTGTAGCCTCCAACTCAGGCAGGAAGTGGCAGTTTAGTCGTCAGCTGAGCAGAAACAAGGATACATCCTGTAGTCGAGCCGTCCCAGATCTGGACCACCAGATCTTCGTCTCCATTCAGGGAAACCAGTTCAGACGCAATGGCATGGGCGACTTTGGCACCTTTTTCTACTGACTGAAACATCGACATGCTCAGAACCGTTCTTGTAGCAAATTCAAAACATCAACACGTCAACTCATTCTAACTCCTCCTAGATTTTGGCAGCTTCATATTTTTGGTGTTTTCTTTATTTTGTTGTGACAGAAATGACTGCTGATTCACTGAGGTGTTCTGAAGAGACAATGATGTGATCAGTTATTAGTTGCCTGTGTTTCTAAAAGAACTCTGACTTCCACCTGTTTGAATTGACAGTGAACTGACCCCCACGTTTAAACTTGCACAAATGCTTTTATCTTATTTATTCCTTTGGGCGTCAGATGCTAAAAGTTTCCATTTTTAATGCATTAGTTTAAAAATCCAATTGTCACTTTGAATGTAGTTTTGGTGGTTTGACTTCAGATCTAATAAATGTTGTTACCATTATGGTGGTGGCTTGCTAAAAATAGGTGCACTGTTGATAATTCTGAGTTCACACAAACCTTTTATTTCGTTATCATGAGTTGACTTTCACATGGTGTCTTGGGTGCTTTTAATGGTTTGATGTATTTTATGGGAGAGGAAAGTCACGTTGACATACTAGTAGAAGCCCAGTGGAAAAAAAACTGAGGTTTTATATTTCTGTCTCTAATGCTGTGGATCTTTTTACATACTTACATGCTACTGCATTTTATGTGCCAACAGGTGTGGACACAAGTCATGAATCTTTAACAACAGTGACTCATGACTTCACCTAGAATTTTGAATTCATGTCCTTCATAAACCCAGATTTTCAAAATGATCAACTATTTATCCTCCTGATTTACTTTGGCTGTTGTTCTGTTTATACATGACTCACAAACAACCACTATGTACAATGAAACAAGATCAGTGGGTAAGTGAGTAGTGGAACCTTAAGCCAGTCAATGTCAGGTGACTTTCTTTAAACCTGATTAGATTGCCATGGTAATTTATACTGTAGATTTAGCCTGCTTTGGAGGAGGTTATGTTCAGATTTTTTTTATTTGAATATAAACAGAAAGAAAGTATGCCAGAGTGTACAATCAATGTAGCTAGTAAAAACCTAACTTCTCTGGTAGATTCAGGGGCTACATCTGTGGAGAGAAGGAGAGAGATTCTGGTTTCCACAGGGAATAACAAAACAACCACATTTGTTAAACAGGGCAGGGATTTAGCATATGAACTATGTCATGACAAACACAGTTTTGTGAAAGATGTCTCTGAATGTCCTGAACTAAGTCAGGTGGGATCATGATTGTGGGGACAAAAAGTATGATGTAGGTCAAAGGTGCAGAGCATGTTCTGATGACACCAAAATCTTCATACAGGCCATGTCAAAATCAATACCCTTTAAAAAAAAAAAAAAGCAGTTAAAGGCATTAAACTGTTGCTCATTCACTGATGGTGTGGCATGGGTCAGATGACAAGCCCTGCCCTTCTCCCATAAATCTTGTCATAGCTCTATTATTTGTGCCACTTACAATGTAGGGAGAGACATTTAAATCCCCACCTCCAGGAAGACCATTAGACCATCTGCAAATGGATTTCACTGAACTAAAACTAATGAGGGAAAGAAATTGTTTTGTCATTGCTGATATGTTTTCTAAATAGGTGCATTTCCCAGATGCAGCAGCAGTTGCTATGGCACTACTCAGAAATAATTTCTTGATGGGGAATTCGTGTAAGTAATAATGGTAACGGTATGTGCGATATACAAGTACAGCACTGAAGAATTTAGGGTATCTGGGTATTGACATGAGACAACATTGCGCACATCATCCACCTAGTGAAGGTACATTGGAAAGAGAAAATGGTATATTGAAAACCAAACTTGTAAAATGTTGCGAAGGAACACATTTGACAAAAAGCATTACCGATTACTGTTTTAATTCATATGAGGCCAGAGTAAGGAACAGAGGAGGTCTCAGCCCACTTGGAATCCTATTTGGGAGACCACTGAACACTGGAATTGTACCTGTTAAGAGACAACTCCCTGATATCGGTCAATATTAAGGTGAAATGCTGTGTTATTGTGAAAATGTTTCCTCTGTGGGCGCCCAGTTACCTCAGTCGGTAGAGCTGGCAACCCATATACGGAGTTGCTGCAGCGGCCCGGGTTCGAATCCGACCTGCGGCCCTTTGCTGCATGTCATTCCCTCTCTATCTACCCCCCTTTCCTGTCAATCTTCAGCTGTCTCTATCAAATAAAGGAATGAAAAGGCCCCAAAAAATGACTTAAAAAAAAAAAGTTTCCTCTGTGATGTGTATCTGCTAGAGCCAAACTCTAAATTATGGTGTTTTTATTGTTGCTGGTTAGATTTCACCAGCATGTCAACATCCCCACCAGGGAAGCAAATACACTGGAACGTGTCTATATAAATATTCCAAGACGCTACAAAGATATTGTCTGTTTGTGATGGCCTTTTGCCATCAGTTTATGAATGTGTGTGAATGGGAATGTGGCATGTAGTTTAGAGCACTACAGTCCATTTACCATTTTGAGTGTAAAGACTGGCACGTGTATAAAGATAGTCACTAAAACACTCCATTATGGGGGTGAGTGTTACAAAGTGCTTTGAGGAACTGGTGCTCCAGCACATTAAGAACAACATCCCTCACAGAGGACGCCATCTCCACTGCCCTCCACTCACACCTTGAGAAAAACAACACTCAGTGTTGATTTCAGCTCAGCATTCAAGACAATCTCCCCCGTGAAACTGATGGGTAAACTCACCACTCTCGGCCTACGACACTCTGAAACTGGATACTGGACTTCCTGATAAACAGACCCCAGACAGTCTAGTGCTCAACAGCAAAGCCCCTGAGTTCTATGTCTTCAGCCCCCTCCTTGTTCACGCTGTACACCCATGACTGCATCCTCAGACATGGAGACAACTCTGTTGTGAAGTTTGCAGATGACACAACTATCATTGGCTGGATTTCAGACAATAATAAGACTTTGTTATATCGTGATGAAATCAATAATCTTGCCAAGTGGTGCACAGAAAACAACCTACATCACAAACTTGCATGGGATGTGCACGGCCCAGGACAGGAGGACTCTCCAGTGATTAAAAATGCCCAGAAGGTCCTGGTACTCGGTATCAGTGATATTGATGAGGTGCCTGCGCAAAGCCCAAAGGATACTAAAACACAGTAACCACCCCAGCCACAGCCTGTTCACCCTGCTGCCATCTGGAAGCAGAGGAATAGAAGCTTCTGCTGCCGTACCACCAGACTTAAAGACAGCTTCTTCTCTCAGACTGTGAGACTCCTCAGCACTTCATCATACAAATTAGTTTTTTTATATAAGAATTTTTTATTGATTTACAAGTTGCATTAAGGGAACTACACCAATCAGTCACATACCAACAAACTGCAAACACATTTCAATCAGAACAAGCATTAACCTTTTCAGCAATTAGCTCAACTGTCGGATAGGACTACTAGGGCCAGCCTTCACTCTTCACATACATCAATGAGCCTTGTCCACACATAACCCTGTCTACGGTTCACCGCTTTTCATTCCTTGGAGCACTTTTGATAGGTACTGACCACTGCAAACCGGGAACACCCCACAAGAGCTGCAGTTTTGGAGATGCTCTGACCCAGTCATCTAGCCATCACAATTTGGCCCGTTGCTTAAATCCTTACACTTGTGTTCACTTGCTGCTTAATATATCCCAGCAACTGACAGGTGTCATGATAACGAGATAATCTTGTGCTTGTGTGTTGCCTCAGGGAGTTGGGCAAAGTAAGATTTTCATTGTACGTACAACCCACTGTGTTTCTTACTGTACATAAGATAATAAACCTCTTGAATCTTGAATAATTAGTATTATTCACTTCAACTGTCAGTGTTCATAATGTTATGGCTGATCTGTGTATATCTAAATTAAAACTTACAATCCTGTGCTGTAAATGACACTAAAATAACCTTGAAACTAAGTTCACCAGGTTGTCTGTGTCAGTTTGCTGCTGAGCAGGTAGTTTACAGTGGCTTTTAACAGCTTTTCCTCTGTATACAGACAATAGTTGCAAGACAAAGCTATGTTGTTTATGTTGTCCTGTGACCATTTTTTTCATTATGAGCAACCGCTTTCACATTTAATACATTGGCCATATAAAAATAATAATAACAGCTTTACATAACTTTAAATTGTGAAACAAGGGCTGAAACAGGGAAACATGGACTTGGTTGACATAATTGGTTATACTGTAATTAACTAAGTGAAGGGGAACATTTGAAGCACATTCTGCTGTTCTTCATTGGTTCTACATAACACCAAATTTCAACATTCAACTGGTTTTCTGCTGAATGTTGAACCTCTAAGGCACAGCACATAATTTAAAAATGTTTTTTAAGTGTTCAGAAGCAGAGAAAGAAAAGTGATGACATAAAGCTGCAAGAGCATTTTGACCAATGGCCCCACAGCAGTTTATATATGAAGAAACATTTGTACTTTAGAGGCAGTGACTGTTTCTAAAAGGATGTTCTTTTCTGAAGCTTGACACTACAAAACATACAGTGACTCTGGAATTTCAGTTTGCAAAAACATAACTTATGTTTCAGAGGCTGAAGCTTTGGCAGTTCAATAGATGGACTCCATGTGCTGAGACACTGCTAGAGTTTGAAGGTTATTACAAACTTAACACAGCATGTCAATTTCCTGTATATCAAAACAAATGGAAAAAAATGTTACTTCACTTGAATAACACAAACACCTTAAGATATATGTTTATCTTTCTGTTATATATCACACACCTAAATTAATACTTGAGGAAAACAGTTCAGGCATATATGAGTGCAACAATTATGAGATTAATTCCACATAAGGCAAGGTGTCATATGTTTTTAAAGCAATGCGGCCCAGCACTATTTATGTACAGATCATTATCAAAATATCGCTTCATCTGTAAAATAAAAATATTCTCGGTCAACTCGCTGATTGCCTGTTGAGCTCCATAGAAAATCTGAAGAATGTCCTGTGAAATGATGCATTCAGGAGAAGAGTAATAGAAACTGTTGGAAAATGTTTAGAGGAGACAGCCTGCAGGTAAACGTCGTCTCACTGGTCATCATCAGAGTCCTGGTTACTGCTCAGGTGACTCCCCTGCACCTCCAGCTCCTCAGCACTCACCATGGCAGGACTGATGGCAGCGTATCTTGTCCCGTGGAACTGACGTAAGTGAATCTGTACACAAACAAAAAGCTACATTATCAGAGCACCATCAGAACACAAATCATTCAAAACATTACAGCAATACAATTGTACTGGGTGAGGAACACTCATTCATCAGTTATGCCAGTTAAATTCTACCTGGAGCATTTTCACATTTTTGGGAAACATGCAAACACCAACATACATATTTGGGAAACAATGTGACAACAGAAACAATTAAAGCCATCAGGAAAGAACGACCCTTTAAAATCTCATCAAATGTACTGTTGTAATATAGCTGTAAAATTAGCTATGAGCAGTTCTTGTTTGCAGTGTATCCATGGATGTACAGACAACCATCACTGGATTATTTTCATACTGAAGAAAACTTAAAAATATGAACAGGCATGTTCTGAAGGGTCTTCTTTATATGATTTCTAAGCTGATTTTTATGGATATTTATTCTGGATGGACATAAAAAATAATGGCTGTGTTCAAAATAACATACTAACCAACTACTACATACTGCCTACTAAACGATGAAGTATGTAGACTGTTCACACTGGAGTATATTCAAACATACGTTCTCTGTATCACATGGCTGTATCGTTCACAACAAGCTCCGACACTGTGGAGATAGGTCTGACTACTCCACATAAATCACAAGATAACAGTTCGAGTCCTGCACTGGGTTCGGTGGGTAAAAGTAAATTAATCAGAATCAGAATCAGAATCAGAAAGTAAATTAATTGCGGGTGGGCAGTGGGTGAGAAGAAAGAAATCAGAAATGAAAATGACTGTGCAGGCTTTTTAACATTTAAATCAGTTAAATATAATCTAGCCTTAGTCAGAAACGTGAAGTTAGCGAAGCCAGCAGCTTCAACACATTCAAGAGTAGGCTTAAGACATTCCTCTTTGATAAAGCTTATAGTTAGGGCTGGATCAGGTGAGTCCTGAACCATCCTTTAGTTATGCTGCTATAGGCCTAGACTATCGGGGGATTTCCCATGGTGCACTGAGCTCCTCCCTTCCTCTCTCTTTCTGCACTCATTCATGTCCCATTAATGCATGTTACTAACTCCACTTCTTCCCCGGAGTTCTTGTGCTTTCTCGTCTCGCAGGTTCTTATCGATCCTGGTGGAGCCTCCTGACATGGTCCTGCTAGACTGCCATTGCCAATACTGTTGTTGCTGTGCACCTACCTGTCTGTCTGTCTGTCTGTCTGTCTCCCTCCCCCCCCCCCCCCTCCCTCCCTCTCCCTCCCTCTCCCCCCCTCCCTCCCCCTCTCCCTCCCTCCCTCCCCCTCTCCCCCCTCCCTCCCTCCCTCCCTCCCTCTCTCTCTCCCTCCCTCTCTCCCCCATCCTGGAAAACACTGCAGCCAGTTCTATTTGTTATAGTGTACCGCGCTCCTGGACCGTACTCTGATTTTATATCTGAATTCTCAGAGTTTTTATCAAGTTTAGTCCTCAAATCAGATAAAGTAATTATTGTGGGTGATTTTAATATTCATGTGGATGTTAACAATGACAGCCTTAGTAATGCATTTATATCATTAATAGACTCAATTGGCTTCTGTCAGAGTGTAAATAAACCAACTCATTGTTTTAATCACACTCTTGACCTTGTTCTATCATATGGCATTGATTTTGAACATTTAATAGTCTTCCCACATAATCCTTTCCTATCTGACCATTATTTAATAGCTTTTGAATTCATACTATTAGATTATAAGCCATTAGGCAAAACTTCCTACAGCAGATGTCTATCTGACAGTGCTGTAGCTAAATTTAAGGAGGAGATTCCTTCAGTGTTTAATTCAATGCCATGTCTGAATTTAACAGAATCCTATAACAACTTTAGTCCCTCTGAAATTGATAATCTTGTCGATAGTGCTGCAGGCTCACTACGAAGAACATTAGACTCTATCGCTCCTATAAAAAGGAAATATGTACCACAGTCCTTTAAAGTAGCTGTAATTAAACCCCTTCTTAAAAAGCCCACTCTTGACCCAGGGGCTTTAGCTAACTATAGACCAATCCCTAACCTCCCCTTCCTCTCTAAGATTCTGGAGAAGGTAGTCGCCAAAGAGTTGCGTGACTTTCTACATAACAATAGTTTATTTGAGGATTTTCAGTCAGGATTTAGAGTTCATCATGGCACAGAGACAGCTCTGGTTAAAGTTAATAATGACCTTCTGATTGCTTCTGACAATGGACTTGTCTCTGTACTTGTATTATTAGATCTTAGCGCTGCATTTGACACCATTGACCATAATATTCTTTTACAGAGACTTGAGCATCAAATTGGCATTAAAGGAACCGCACTGAGCTGGTTCACAGCGGGCGGCTGTGGCTCAGAGGCAGCGCAGGTCGTTCCTTAATCGGAAGGTTGTGGGTTTGATCCCCGGCTCCTGGTCGAAGTATCCTTGAGCAAGATACTGAACCCCAAATTGCTCCCGATGCTGTGCATCGGTATGTGTATGTGTATGAATGTTAGTTTCTGTTCGATGGACTTTGCCATCACTGAGTGAATGTGTGTGAAAGGGTGAATGTGGCACGTAGTGTAAAAGCGCTTTGAGGGGTCATAAGACTAGAAAGGCGTTATACAAGTACAGGTCCATTTACCATTTAAGTCATATTTATCAGATCGTTTGCAGTTTGTACATGTTAACGATGAATCTTCAATAAATACTACAGTTAGTCATGGAGTTCCACAAGGTTCTGTACTTGGACCAATATTATTTACTTTATATATGCTCCCTCTTACGCAACACTATTAGGAATCACTCCATTAACTTTCACTGTTATGCAGATGATACGCAGTTATATCTATCGATCAATGAAATTAATCAATTATCTAAATTACAAACATGTATTAAGGACATAAAATCCTGGATGACCTGCAATTTTCTGATGTTAAACTCAGAAAGAAACGAAATTCTTGTTCTTGGCCCCAAAAACCTTAGAGACTCACTGTCTAAAGATATAGTTACTCTAGATGGCATTACCTTGGCCTCTAGCACCACTGTCAGTAATCTTGGAGTTATCTTTGATCAGGATTTGTCTTTTAACTCCCACATGAAGCAGACCTCTAGGACTGCCTTCTTTCATTTACGTAATATTACAAAATTAGACACATACTATCACAGACGGATTCAGAAAAACTAATCCATGCATTTGTTAATTCAAGGCTGGAATACTGCAACTCTTTATTGCGTGAGCTAGATGACGTATAACAACAACAACTACACGCTAGACTGGTTGGTTGCTAACCGTGGCTAACAAGCAAACAATTTAAAACTGAATGAATTTAATATTAACACAAAATAAGTGCAATGCACCTTCAATATTTTACCCTGCTTTGAGCTGTTCCTTAACCAAACTAACAATTGGCTTAGATTTTACATTAGCACTCCTTCAGGTGCATAATACAATTAAACACATTAACCAAAGCTAGCGCGTAGCTAGCGATTAGCGTTAGCGCTCTTTTCAGTATTAATACAATGAAAGTTGAAGTTGTTCTCTTATTTTGCATAGACAGTGTTTACATTTGGAAAGCCATGTTGCATTTATGTATGCATCCAGTGGGGCATCACAATAAAATTAGGGATAATGTGTTAATTCCACAATAGGAGATATGTTATGTTGTTACCTAACAGTTTTGGTGTAAAAAGCCTGCATATATCGGTATCACGTGATATCGGTATCTTTTTTTTTTTTTTTTTTAAGTTGAAAAAAGTATCGAATGAAGTACTCAATTAGTATCGGTATCGTGTTAAGGGTACTGGTATCGGTACTTGTATCGAACATTTTTAAACGATACCCAGACCTATGCACTACATACTCAATTTGATGTCAAATGCGACAATTGAAGTTGTCATCTTGTGATGAGCTGCAGGGAGTGTTGTCCTGCTATCTGTGTGTCTGCTCTGTGTCACATACAGCTTGATCATACAGCTTAAACATGGTTTAAGCAAAAATTGAAGTACAACAACTTTCTTAATGGTTTTGAGCGAGTGGTGAGAGATTATAGTAGAACTGGGGTGAAATCTGAGTTGAGTGCAGAGTGCTATTAAACAGAGAGGCCCTGAGTGGCTTTAAATGGGGGTGCAGAAAGAAACACACAGCTCTGAGCGAGGAGAGGGAATAGTCATCGCTTCTCTCTCTCTCTCTCTCTCTCTCTCTCTCTCACTCTCTCTCACTCTCTCTCACTCTCTCTCACTCTCACTCTCACTCAGCTGGAGCAGTGTGGAGTCTGCATGTTCAATCCTGTGTTTCCCCCACCATCAATACATGTATAGTTCCTTTCTCCAGTCAGTGGCTCAGACCTGGAGTTCATCCCTGGGTGCCTCATGGTGGCTGCCAACTGCTCCTAGTACTTAGAATGGATTAAAATCAGAGAATGAATGTCCCTACGGGAGATCAATAAAGAATACCATCCTGTGATTTCACTATGGTTAAAATGATGCCCAGAGCAATGAGTTAAATTACAGAGAAGCACAGTTTCACTACAAAGATGTTGTGCTATAGAATGATGGAAGTGCCATACAAATTTTGAGAAATACTAACATATTGGACCGTCAACGTGTCTTGTTGTATTGTGTTTGTTGTTGTGGTGGTGGCATGTTTCTTTTTTTTGATCATGTACTGTCACGTATAGAATATTATGTTTTGTGTAGACCCCAGGAATGGTAAATGGTAAATGGACCTGTACTTGTATAACGCCTTTCCAGTCTTCCGACAAAGCGCTTTTACACTACGTGCCACATTCACCCTTTCACACACTTTCACTCAGTGATGGCAAAGTCCATCGAAAAGAAACTAACTCATTCATACACATTCACACACCGATGCATGGGAGCAATTTGGATATTATATATATATAAATATTAAAGCATAAATAGTGCCACTATGTGGTCGGCTATGAAGCATTTTAAATTTGGCTAATGACTCATGATCCAGAAGGAAGAAGAGGATATGATCAGTCATTGCTCACCTGGAAGATAAACATGTCTTCATCTGCAGTTGATAAAACAGTACTATCATCATTTCTTAAAAGGAGCATACCTGTACGTAGAGGTTGACTTCAGCGCTCCTGCACAGGTACGGGAAGTTTCCTCCTGTTTTCAGATGAGCTCGTCTCGCATTAGGATACAGTTTATACATCTCCTCCTTCGCCTCCAGTGACAGAGCACTCTGATCAAACACCTACATACCATTCCCAGAGAAAACGTGATTCGGGTTATTGCATAAATATACCTTAATGAATACTGGTATATCCCGATGGGAAAAGATGATTTAGCACTTACATCTATAATGGTCACAGCAACATCTTTTATTTTGTGCGGCTCCACATAGGAGTTCTGACAATTGAGTGTTAGCCGCGATGCTAACTCACTTTGGTTCAGACTCTCCAACTGCAGCACACACAACACATAGACGGAAAGAGGTTAACAAATAAATTGCAGTTGCCTTGAAGGGCACTCCATTTATCCGCTTGGGAGCCATTCAACTATTTTTAAATCTTGGAAACAATACTTTCTCTCTCCCTATTCCTGTTTTACAGAGCTCCTTCTGATATTGATCGTTTGGGTATACTCACTGTCTGTCCAGAATAGCTAGAAAGCTGCACCCTTATCTGTATATAGGTCAATATGCTAACTATACTGTACTTGTCTTTGGCTTGTACAAATGTCAGTAGTTTCCTACCATAGGGATCAATCATATCCAGTCTTTAAAAACCCTTAGATTTTCCAATTTTTTTTTCATGGGCTGCATAAACCTGTAGTTATCGCACCGGGGGATATCCAGTATTATATTCTGTCATTATGCTGTGGGCCGGAGGATGGGGGATATAGGGCCGGAAATTGCCCCTTGGGCGGCAGTTGGACATTCCTGCTTTACACTCTAGTGACACTCTAACATGAACCACCTCAGTAACAGATATGAACACACATGTCCACTTACCCTGTCAACCATGAAGTCAATTGCATCTGCCATTTTAGAGTCCACAGGTCCTTTAGCAAAGTTCCCCAGAACAATCTTCTTCAACATGAAAGCTGGCATCAACCAGAAACTTTTGAGCAGGAACATGGGAACCAAACATTAATAATGAATGTCAACCTTCAAAGGAAAATCTGTGCGGGAATTATTAAAAATCACCTGTTTGCTGTCCATGTCTGATTAAAGATGGAGGTATCGCTGAATGAATTACACAGTATCAATGAGTGCACTCTGGGAGACTTGTGTGTGCACTCTGCAAACTTCTGAGCCAAGAATCCCCCAAGAGATGCCCCGAACAGATGGACCTGAAGGTTGAGGTGACAGAGTTCTTCATTAGATAAACAGAGAGTACAAAAGGGTGATTAGGTAACATGCCAACATTAATGAGTCATATTCCTTAATTCTGGATTGGCCAGCTATCAAGGGCTGTGATGATAACCACATGATTGATGCCTACTGCCGTACCATGGGGTTGAGCTCATTACAGTCATCATCATCATTTGTAGAGTCAATCTCACGTCATTCCATTAGGCAATGCATTCCGTTGTACAACCTTGTGTTGTAAACAAATACAATTAATCTTTATATAGTTCTAAAGCTGTATTAATAAAAAAAATTACTTTACAGTTATCTGCCGTGTTCGACCTTTCCACTGCATCAATGTTGCTGCTCACATCAGGTTCAAGTCATTAATGCTCAGTTAAAGAGTGCTTTATAAGTCTTCTTATTCATTATGATCTGAATATTAATGATGGCATATCCTACTGTCACTGTGAGGCAGAAGATCTCAATCCAAACTCTCTCTCTGAAATCAGTTACTGAACTTGATTCAATCGGAAGATTTCTGCCTTCAAGACCCACAGAGAGTACTTACTCAACGAATATGCTTTATCTCCATGTCTCCATCCTTCTCTAGCTCTCCTTAAAAGTAAAATACAATCCTCTACATTCTTATGTTTTACTTATTATCCATCGATTAATTGAGTTGTCAGATAAAAAATACTTTTGCTTCATTAAAGCAATAGTAAATATACATGACAGAAAATAAGATAGCTCTTTTAAATTGGCTTCCATGTTTTCCTCTACTATATTTTTTTCTGTTGTACGCCCATTGTAATTGAAGTTTTCAAAGTGGGGTATTAGTACTTTTGCTTAAGTAAAGGATCTATTCTTTTCTCCATCTCTGTTTAGCACACCCACAGCCTGACTACACCTGTGTGTTAGCCTTAAGGTTGAGTCTAGTGGGTTTGTTGTTGGAGGTGAGTCTTTTCCGGTGTGTGTAGTTACATTAAGTTAGTCAGTAATAAAGTGTATAGATAATTTCAGGTTGCAGTAGTTACTGAAAGACTGTGTTGTTTTTGCTGCCACAAGCATATAAAAAGTCCCCATTTCTGGAACATTCACATTACTACCGTGTCTTCTTGCACTGTTCACAGCTGAGTTGGTGCAAACTGTGGACAGCCCAGCAAGCTGCTACGAGTCAAGGTAAATATATGTACATTTAAGATTGCACTTCTGCTATCCACAGGAGACTGGCTCTTGTTAATTGTTTTTATTTCTGTTAAGTAAGGTCAGACTAATATTTTTCACTGCACTTTATTTTTTCATTTATACATTATAAGGTGTTATGTCACGTCATTTGAATCTGACAGATTACCTACCTATGTCTACAGGAAAGGTCAAGGAAACAGTCAGACTATAGTTGTCTGCTCTGCGTTTTGGTAAACATGCTAATCATTACAACAGTCAGTTTGTGTCCAAGACTGCCAAACAGCAGCATTACTAATCTAGACTTATATTCTGGTATTTGTAACCTGACACTGGATCAGGAAAGGCTTCATCCTGTCATACCTGTCCAAGACCCACAGAGACAGACGTTCCTAACACACCCACACCTCAGATCAGATGACCAGATCAGTCATCTCTGAAAGCAGGAGGAAAGCAGACTTACTTTATCCAACTGCAGGTGATCGAGAAGTTTCCTGAAGCCGTCACAGAACTCCATTAGATCCCAGTACACCGGATACTGCAGCTGGAGACAACATAAACAAGTGTAATATTTTGTTACCTTTTTTACCATTGTGTGTTGTTCTGTGTCTCAGAGACATGAGTCAGTCATGTCAGTCATTTAATATTATCCGCATATAGTATCTGCTGATACAGAGTCCCAATCCGATACGGTATTTTTCTAATAATACAGGTGCACATTACACACTTCAAGTACATTGAAGTTATTAAAATCAATCCAATGTATTGCTGCAGAGTTTCACAGCGGGCTGTCACACACACAGCTCAGCAGAGTGGAGGGAAGAAACGGCGGAGAGAGTGGACGATGGCTGCACCATGCATGAAAAGCTTTGCAAGTAAAAAGTAGCTGTGACATAAAACAATGGATCAGATCAGGTCAATAAAGCTCAGTATAACCAATACCGATCAGTTAAAAAATGCCTGATAGGCCTTATATCTATCAGATCCGGACATCCCTAACTGAAACAATTTGTCAATTAATAGATTAGACAGTTGACAATTCATCTGCAACTATTTTGATTATCGATAAATTATCAATTCAATTCAATACAATTTTATTTAGAGAGGGGTTAGGGTAAGGGTACTCCTTATAAAATGATTTACAGAGACCCAACAGTTCCCACCATGAGCAGGCACTTGGCGACCAAGCAAAAATACCAAACATCCTCTGGTGTCAGTTTTCCAGTGTGTTCGATCTTGTGTTTTATCACGTTTTCTATCACAGCAAACTGAATATTTTCGGATTGGTTGGTTGGGCAAAACAAGGAAATTTTTTTACTGTCTTCAAATATTTTGTAAAACAAAACAATTAGATTGAGAAAATCATTAGCTGATAAATTATACAATAATATAATGGTTAGTCGTAGCCCTAGTAAATATGAAGCTGTAAAAACAGAAAGAACAGAGACAGATGTTTTCAGTGACAAGCTCACCGAAATGACTCTGTAGCCCCAGCCTGTCAGAGCCAACACCTGCTGGAAAAACACCTCAGCTGTCCCACTGACTGGAGGGAGGAAGATGATAGGACACCTGATGCTCTTTGGGCCAGCATCATACAATGACCACACCTTACTGTCATCATCATCAACAATAATCTGGTGGAGACAAAAACACAACAAGGTGAGTAAAATACATCATGGCCCTAAAGTCTCTTCTCAAACTTGAAGACTAAAAGATGGCGATCAGACTGTATAAAAAGAGTCTTTAATATACAGTCTATGATGGAGATGGAAACATGCAAATAGTAGTTTAAGTTATGATAAATAGTGCACAACTGGCAGAAAATACTAGAGACTGGTGGTGCAACCAATCACAGTTGAACTTTTTTTTGTCTTCTAGTCTTCTATGCTAATAAAGGGAATATCTTTGTCATCTTGCCTTTTTACTACTTTGCATTGAATACCCAATTACTACAGGCATGAAAACGGGTCAGGGCTGAAAAAGGTGAGACCCCTCCAGGGGGGTCCGGGGGCTTTGTCCCCCTGAAGTAAATTGTGAGTATTCCATATTTTAAAGCATCAATCTTATGCATTTTGAGATGCATTTTTTGCCAACCTGGGGAGAGCTTGAGAAACTTAACTTCAGCCATGAGTCAAAAATATTATGGCCTCCTTACTAAGTATTATGCAAGCCATTTCATGCCAGCCTGTCACTGGGTCTGACATTTATAGTATATGAGGCACAATGTGGTAAGGTCATGAAAACAGGTCATGAAAATATACTATACTATACTACTCCTAAAACAGCTGGGCACTGTAGTTTCTGGCAAAAGTTACCAAAACAGAAATAAACAGTGTATTTGTAATGGGATGACTTTCAGCTACGGATTTGGTGAGCTAGTGAGTATTTGCAGCAGAAGAACGGTGTATAACGGATTGACTCAAAATAAACTACAGCGTAAACAAAAGATTAAACAGAAATGTTGCCGATCTTCAACCTTAAAGGGATAGTTCGGGTTTTTTGAAGTGGGGTCGTATGAAGTACTTATCTATAGTCAGTGTCTTAGCTACATTAGCTACTGCTCAGCGATCCCTCAGTTTGGAGAAGCAGAGAGCCGCTCCAGCACAGACGATCAGCTTTGCACTGCAATGAACGGAGTCCAGATGCAAAGCGAATTTTAACCACCTAAAACAAGGCCCACCTAAAAAAAATCTATATCAGTTCAAGTGTATGTTACATAGAGAAAATTCACACCGCTTTACATCACTGTCAGATGGCCCTTATACCGTATAACTCACGTATTCCTACGCATAAGCGCAACTTTTGCCCGCTGCGGCCGCACTGTATTACGCCGTATGCGTAGGAATACATGAGTTATATGGTTGAGAAATGTAGTGCCAAAGGAAGGGCCGTCTGACGGAGATGTAAAGCGGTGTGAATTTTCTCTATACAACGTACACTTGAACTGATATAGATGTTTTTAGGTGGTTAAAATTCGCTTAGCATTTGGACTCTGTTCACTGCAGTGCAAAGCTGAGCGAATATTTCCATGCACTCGCGCTCCCTTTAGGCACGCGCACCTGTTCGCAGTTCACTGAATCTCTGGTACCTACACCCCCCCCCCCAAACATTTTCTCATCAAATCTACACGATTCACGTAGGTCACCTATTTTGGTTTCAAAACGGCGAATTTCGCCGAAAGGTGAGTGATTTTCATGTATGTTACTAGCCTAACATGTCAGGTGAAGAGAAAAGGATGATGGAAAAGAGCTAGCGCCAACTGGGGACACCTAGTTTGATACAGCCACAGAGCTGGCTAGCATCAAGACTACCATGATGAAGGAAATTGTGATGATTGTAGGTGGAATAAAAGGGTCCTTGATTCCCTTCTAGGGATGGAATGGTTCGAGTAAAAAATCAGAATCATATGAAATAGAGTATGAGGTCAAAACAGCATGCGCAAAAAAAACAACGTATTTTTTGTGCTGTGGCTCAGAGGCAGAGCAGGTCGTTCCTCAATCGGAAGGTTGTGGGTTCGATCCCCCACTCCTGGTGCCACATGTCGAAGTATCCTTGAGCAAGATACTGAACCCCGAATTGCTCCCGATGCCGTGCATCGGTGTGTGAGTGTGTGGGAATGTTAGTTTCTGTTCGATGGACTTTGCCATCACTGAGTGAATGTGTGTGAAAGGGTGAATGTGGCACGTAGTGTAAAAGCGCTTTGAGTGGTCGGAAGACTAGAAAGGCGCTATACAAGCACAGGTCCATTTACCATTTACCATAACAATAATAAAGTTGATACAATAAAGCAAGACATCCAGGTCAAATTCCTTTTAGAGAAGGAAAGTGTTGTGTGGTGGGACCTTCAAAACAAAATATTGCTGAATATTTTTCAATATTTCTTACACTCCTAGTTAACATGACCGGCGAAATAAAAAGCAAGACGTTCCACAATGCACACGGCGTGATGCACCTGAAGATGTGGGCAGTGTGGCCTGGGCTTTACAAGATTCCCCTCAGCACCTGAGAAAAAAATCTTCGCACTCACCACCACAAACGGAAGGTAGCAGTCCAGCAGCACCTTTTTAGCTATTCACATCTATGCATACAGCGTGACTGGACTTCTCTGCTGAATGCTAGGCCCCCCCCGCAGTGGCTTATAGGCTGTATTCCACTTTCAAGAACTGGGAGTGGTAAAAGGGAGTGTCCCCCATCAACAACGAAGTCAGGGTCTACCTCAACCCCCACCCCTCTTGCCCGGCCAAGGTCAGCTGTTTCTTCCGTTAACTGCTGACTTACACATCACTAACCACTGGGTGACAGTAGAGAGAGACTGGCTTGTGGTATATCTGATGCACCACAAGCAATTGTTGAGGGCACAGTTGGAGCAGCCTTGTGCAACATATAGCTAGCGCAAATGGAGACAGAAAATTCAGTTAAGTCATTAAAAATGAACCCCTTTGAAAGTAGAACATTACAAGAGAAGCTCAGAGTGAAAGAACTTGGACCTGATCAGCCTGATATAAAAAATGTTTATATCTGATACAGGCTATTTCATGTCCCAATTAACGATATATATCACAATATAGTACATCTGTAAAGTACATGAATAAAGAATTTATATATGGGGGTCTTATATTATTTTAATTCTTCCTCACTAATTTGAACTAGTTGAAATAATGGTGGGTGTTTTAATCGACAACAATCATATTGTATAAAATCATATGTTCGTAGAGTGGCTGCATTCATAAATGTAGCTGGTGAATGCAAATTCACACTTACTCATAGAACTGGAGTTACATCCAGGTAACAACAATTTATTACCTGTACATGTTTTGTGTTGAGTGTACTTGTTGTTGTCCTGTATAAAGAAGTGGGGCCAGTGATTACAGACCATAATCACAGATTAGAAATCACTAGGTACTTACTTTCTTCAGGGGTACTGTGCTTCTGAACCAGTTATAGTCAGGAGACACTTTAATCTCCTCCATCTGAGAACACATTCAGACACAAACATTCAGCAAATACAGAGACTGCAGCTCCTAAATCACAACACTTAATTCACTAATTCAGCCCTTAAGGTAAGTTAGAGTAAAACAAACACCTGACTTTTATTAACGCTAGCTTAACTGTAAACTGTTAAACATGGATGTGTTGCCGCTTACACTCGTTACAGTGAAAATTCAATGACCAGTTATGTTTACTGTATCTGAATAAGATGTATGTCTAGTGTTACCGTGTTCGTTGTGGATTGGTCACCGTGTCCGAGGAATTTTAGCCATATCGGGGTAGCATTTTTTCCGGCTGCCTGCCTGGTCATATGACTACGGTGTCACACACTTCCGCAAAGCTTCTGCCACCGCCTACCAATAACACACAGCGTCTGCCTGTCTATCTGTTTCTCTCACATACAGGCAAGCGTTAGCCCACTGCACCATCATGTAGCTACAGTCTATTTACCAGAGACGGGAGCTAGCTGTAGCTTTGTTGCTGTCTCAACTGCATGGCTTGTCCACAGACTATAGTGTACGGCTACGCATGCGCACTTACATCCACGTTAGCGGAGACGTTCCTCCCCCGAGACATCCGGGAACATTTTTTAAAATTATTATTACACAATAAGAAAAATACAAGAACTCGTAGAGAATACAATAAGTGAAATTCGTGCAATTTCATTTGCTACATTTAATATGATATTTACCCATACAAATTATAACATTAATCATGTCAGAAACAGATTAATTGAAATTGTCTATATAAAAGAAAATAAGAGAAATGCCAAAAGTCGGAATGTAATTTATCTTAATTGATATCCAATTCTTTATATCAGATCAAAATCTTTTGGACAAAAGATTATGCACCAAAGATATGTGGCAGTTGATCCAAAACATCAGAGGCTACAAAAGCAGTACCCCCATCTTGTGTGACAGGTGAGAATCCTGTTTGTTGATTTTAGCTCAGCATTTAACACAATCTCCCTCATAAAACTGATAGCTAAACCTGGCAGTTTAGACCTGAGTACCTCACACAACTGGATTTTAGACTTCCACTTTAGTTGTCAACACCGGAGTCCAGGGCCTTGTGCTCAGCCACCTCCTGTTCACGCTGTACACCTATGACTGTATCCCCCGACACAAGAGACAAATCTGTTGTGAAGTTTGCAGATGACACCTCCATCATCACCTAGATTTCAAATTGTAGCTGCCATCAGTAATTCAATTCAATACATAATATTTTTGTTAATAAATATAAGCATAATTAAAAACATGCACATCAGAACATACCTGTTTAAAAGGACATGTAAAATATTTCCATAGCGGAACTCATGTCCGCGAGTTAAAGTCAGGTCATAGTTAGGCACACTCGCCACGAGGGACAGAGCACCTGGCAGGTCAAGTGGAAGATTATGTGGAGTCATTCAATTCAAAGAGAGAGACAGACAGACAGACAGACAGGTGCACAGCAACAACAGTAACAACAACTACACTAATAGTAGTGACTGATGATGATGAACATGAAGAAGATGATGACGACGACAACAGCAACGATGGGGGACAATGTGCAGTGACAATAGTAATAATAGTAACTGTAGTAATAATAATATTAATAACAATAATAGCAATAATATCAGTGATATTAGCAATGGCAGTCAAGCAGGACCATGGCAGGAGGCTCCACCAGGATCCATGAGAACCTGCAAGACGAGAAAGCACAAGAACTCCGGGGAAGAAGGGAAGTTAGTAACGAAGAAAGAGAGAGAGAGGAAGGGAGGAGCTCAGTGCATCATGGGAAATCCCCCGATAGTCTAAACCTATAGCAGCATAACTAAGGGATGGTTCAGGACTCACCTAAGCCAGCCCTAACTATAAGCTTTATCAAAGAGGAATGTCTTAAGTCTACTCTTAAATGTGGAGAGGGTGTCTGCCTCCCCAACCAAAACTGGAAGCTGGTTCCACAGGAGAGGAGCTTGGTAACTGAAGGCTCTGGCTCCTGTTCTACTTTTTGAGACTATAGGAACCACAAGTAGCCCTGCATTCAGAGAATGCAGTGTTCTAGTGGGGTAATAGGGTACTATGAGCTCTTTAAGATATGAAGGGACCTGACCATGAAGAGCTTTGTAGGTGAGGAGGAGGATTTTAAATTCTATTCTAAATTATACAGGGAGCCAGTGCAGAGAAGCTAGTACAGGAGAGATGTGATCTCTTTTCCTAGTTCCTGTCAGTACTCGTGCTGCAGCGTTCTGGATTGATTGGAGCATCTTAATGGACTTATTGGGGCAGCCTGATAATAAGGAGTTACAGTAATCCAGCCTAGAAGTAACAAATGCATGGATTAGTTTTTCTGCATCCGTCTGTGACAGGATGTGTCTAATTTTTGTAATATTATGTCAATGAAAGAAGGCAGTCCTAGAGGTTTGCTTTATATGGGGATTAAATTACATGTCCTGATCAAAGATAACTCCAAGATTCCTGACAGTGGTGCTAGAGGCCAAGGTAATGCCATCTAGAGTAACTGTATCTTTGGACAGTGAGTCTCTAAGGTTTTTGGGGCCAAGTACAATAATTTCGTTTTTTTCTGAGTTTAACATCAGAAAATTGCAGCTCATCCAGGATTTTATGTCCTTAAGACATGTTTGTAATTTAGATAATTGATTAATTTCATCGGGCTTGATCGATAGATATAACTGTGTATCATCTGCATAACAGTGAAAGTTAATGGAGTGATTCCTAATAATGTTGCCTAAAGGGAGCATATATAAAGTAAATAACATCGGTCCAAGTACAGAACCTTGTGGAACTCCATGACTAACTGTAGTATTTATGGAAGATTCATCGTTAACGTGTACAAACTGAGAACGATCTGATAAGTATGACCTAAACCAGCTCAGTGCGTTTCCTATAATACCAATTTGATGCTCAAGTCTCTGTAAAAAAATGTCATGGTCAATGGTGTCAAATGCAGCACTAAGATCTAATAATACAAGTACAGAGACCATTGTCTGAAGCAATCAAAAGATCATTATTAACTTTAACCAGAGCTGTCTCTGTGCTGTGAACTCTAAATCCTGATTGAAAATCCTCAAATAAGCCATCGAATAGAAACTAACTTAGTCATGGTGCTGTATGTTCATTAAGATCTTTTTCTTTTACTCCCCTTGAGTTAATGTTGCCAATGATGTAAGAAGCTGGTGAGTAAGAACACAGCCAGCTGATTAAGAGAGGTGAAACACTAAACTCATATACCAGTAACCTAAACAAGTGGCAAATGGAGGTCTGGAGCTTTGCCTGATTTAGCCAACAAGTAACACATTTGAAACAAGTTAAATATTCGGAAAATGGAGTAGCCTTAGCAACTGCTTTATTAGACCCTATTAGTGCACCATAAGTGTTCTGGTGTTTTGTACATGTTTCTAAGTCAAAGTTATTGCTGTTTTCACTTATTACAAGCAGTTTGAATCAGAATCAGAATCACTTTTATTGGCCATGTATGTGTCCACATACAAGGAATTTGACTCTGGTTTTACGTTGCTCTCAATGTACAAACACAGACTAACAGCATAAATAAAGAAACGAGTGCAACAAAAAAGACATAGACTTATATGTAAAGTTCTACATATCTATAAACATACATTTGTAGACAGAAGACAATAGTGCAAAGGATGCTGAAATAAATATTTTACGTGCAGGTATCTTTATGTACATGGGGTAGGTGGATATGACAGAGTCTATTGTGAATACAGTGTACATGTGAAGTGTAAATCACAGTTTAAAGGACTCTATTAGTGCTAAAAGGGAGAAATATATGGTGTTACAGGATTCTATGGTCAGTTACATATTTCTAAGGTTAAGTCATTGCTGATTACATTATAGATATTGCAATTTTGAAAAGTAAAAGAAGTCTACTATAATTCATTGTAAAGTGAAAGTGAGTTAATTTGCATTGTGTCAAGGTGTTTTATGTTTTATTTTATTCTAAACATAGTTGGTTAAAACTATAAGCCAATAAACTACAGTAATTGCATTCAGTATTATTATTGCAATTTAACTACAGTCAAGCTAGTAACATTCAAACTAAGCTTACATGCTTTAGTTCAAGCGAATAATTTTGATACATTTTAGTTTAAAGCAAGGAATATAACAACATTAAAATGGCTAAGTATGAGAGTGAAGCTTATAAACAGGACAGTAACAGTGAAGCTGTAGAGTTACCATAGCAATCTAAAACTCTTGATAATGTACCTTTGTACACAAACCCATCAAAAGAAATAAGTAAGTGCGGAGACCCAAGCAGCTGCAGAAAAAGGATTACGAAGAAGCCAGAGAACTCCTCAGTTTACTGAAATGGTAAATGGTCTGTACTAGCATAGTGCCTTTCTAGTCTTCTGACTACTCAAAGCGCCTTTACACTCAATGCCACATTCACTCTTTCACACACATTCACACAGTGATGGCAAATCCCATTGAATAGAAACTAACTTATTCATTCACATTCAGAGCAATTTGGGGTTAATTTCTTGCTCAAGGATACTCTGAGATGCAGCGGGAGGAACCGGGGATCGAACAAACAACGTTCCGACCCGCTCTACCGTAAAGTGGGGCAAGAACTCCATAATGTCAAATCTAAAAGGCTTCAACATCGCTTCACTTGCATTTACAACAAATGGAAAGCTCTTGCTAAGGAGGCTAAGAAAAATCTGCTGTGCATCAACAGATGTAAAACAAGCTTATGGTGACTTGCTGCAGTGCATTGTCACTGGTGTGTAGACCCTTGTGATGCTGTCTCAGCAAAGATCTTAAACTATGCACAAAATCATCTTGAAGAGAATGACAAAGGGCAGATTCCTCATAAAGAACAAGCATACTGGGCTGAGACTGGCTTTGTGCTCTCATCTGCACTCTAGGTCTTGTTCAAGCTCTCAAGGTCAAGATCTGTAAGCAATTTTAGCATAAAATCAAGAAGTTCAAGCCTATTAACCTGCAAACACACAAGAAGCTGCAGCGGAGTTAGTTGCAATTCAAGCCACCTTGAAAGTCTTACAAGAAATGGAACTTCTTGGACACCCCTCTCAGGTGTTTGACAAAAAGGTTTGAGAAAGACAAACAATACCATAAAGACTACATTGCTTTCATGAGTGAAACAATAACCCATGCTGAAAAGGTACCTGAAGATTGACAGAAGCCCAATTGCTAATGATGCTGTGCATGCAAGATGATTTCACATATTTGTGGCAAACCACATTCAACATATCAAGGAAATTACAAATCCAAGTCAATGGAGACACGTAACTTCTGAAGATTATCCCGCCAACCATGCATCAAGGGGTCTCAGGGCAAAAGAGCTCATTGCCTCCAACTGGTTTACTGGGCCAAACTTTCTCTGGCATGACAAGCTTCCCAGTGGAGATATTAAGGTGGGAGATATTGTAGATGAAGACCCAGAAGTTCCTTAGTACACAAAACCATGGCAACAGAAAGTTCACTGCTTGATCGCTTCTTAAAGTTCTCCAGCTGGACAAGGTTAGTCAAGGCCAGACTTGTGTGTGTCAT